AATCTGAGGTACCACTGTACAGTGCAAGCTGAACCACATCTATTCAGAAGTCAGTCCTATTGAATTCAGTGGGACTTACTTCCAGGCAACTGAGGTTAGGGTTGCAGCCTTATTGTGGTTACAGAACAGGTTATCTTAAGACATCTTTGGCATTTCCTGTTTCAAGTCAGTCTGAAAATGTGGCATTTTGGTAACTTCCATTTATGGACATGTAGGGGAAATCCAGAAGGGTTTTTGTTTTTTGTTTTTTAAGGGGGGTGGGTGGGAGATGGAAAAATGAAGTTAAGAAAATATTAACTGAGCTCTTTCTGTTCTCAGGTTCCTCTTGTTTTTTGGGTACAGTCTTACATTGCTTTTTCTTCCCAGTTGACTGGATGGACTTCTTGGTAACTGTTTCCATATGTTAAGAACATAAAACATTGGATAATCTATTGAGTTAATGCCACACCCAGCCCATTTTCTAATTAGGGCAACAATCATGCCCTAAATGTATAAGATTCAAAAGGCAACATTTTGTTGTGGGTTCAGGGCTACGGTGATGTTGTTCACCTTCTTGGTTTTATGCCTTTCATTATATTGATAGCAAAAGTGCTTTTTTATAGCACTGTGTGTTTGGGAAAGGACTTACACTATTAAGAAAGAATGCAAATTACCTAACTGGGGTTTGCTCTTTCTAGAAAAAGCACTAAAAAGGAAGAAGCAAATTTTCTGAAGTGGCTCCAGCTTCTACATGAGTCAGACAAATGGATTCTATTCAAGAGACTTATGTATTTCTAAGTGGCTATGGATTGTGGTTCATTCCTTAATTCATGCCTTTGGACTATTATAACATCACTAGCATTGACAGCAGCAAATATGGAAGCATAAGAGCTGAACAACACTAATTATTTGGTACATTTATGCCCACTGCAGCTTACCTGGATGGGGCAGGCTGGTGCTGAGGTCAGGGTTATTGGAGAAAAACAAATACATTTAATTCTCTTGAGCATCTAGTTAATGTTTCTTTAAAACACACAAAGGCACTGTTTGTCTAGCAATGTAGCCAGCCCTTGTTTGTAGTCTCTCTGTTTAAGTTAACTCTGCCCCTAAAAGCTGAACCATTTTGTTTTCTCTCTCCTGATATGCTGATACAAAGGCTGAATCTACACTGATCTGTAAAAATGCTATTAAAGGCTATTTTAAAAAACGTTATATAGCTCTCAATGCAGCACCCTCTGGTGTCACATTTTTATAATGCATTGTTAACATTATAACCGGCCAGTGTAGATTCGCCCAAGATGTCTGCTATTTTTCTCTTTCATCTCTACTCATCCCATAAATAGTTTCTTTCAAGATAATCTGCTCCTTCATGAATAAAGCCTTTGAACTCCAGAAGCTGTAAGTGATCATTTCTATATAATTCATCCAGGCTGCAAGCTCTTCTAACAAGGGTTGCATAGGCAAAACCAATCCAGTGCTTCTTGCACAGCCACAACTTTGCTATTGTCCTGCCCTAGTTGAGTCTGATTTGTGTAAGCTGCAGTGCTGCTGCTGATGGGAGGGGGGCTTCACACCACCATTCCAGCTGCTGCTGGTACTACCCAGGCTCTCAAGTACTTGAGTCCTTACAAAAATGCTTCTCTCTATTGATCCCATCTGCATCGCAATGGATACTGAAGTAAAAACTTGGGGAAATCAACATGATTGCTCCTGGCACAGTCAAGCGTGACACATTTATAGACAAAGATTATTCTAGCTGGGTTTCGAGGAATAGCCAACACCTCCCCTTGTGTAACTCACACATCCAGCCAGGAAAGTAACATCACTTCATGAATCACAGCAGATTAACTGCCAAACAATCACAGTAGATTAATGTCTGAGTTTGGATGAGAAATTGTCAACGCCAGCAGGTGGTGTCGAGTTAAATAGAAAGGCTTCGTTCCTTCTCTCTCTCCTGCAACTTCTGCCCCTGCAAAGAAAGCAGTGAGGCCCATCACTGCCCAGTCAGAGACAGGAGTGAAAACAAACAAACAAACAAACAAGCTAACAAACAAAAAAATATATGAACCCCAATAATGTCTCTGTCTTGGCCAACCCTTTGCTCCCCAGTTGAATGATTCTACAGTCTCCATCCCTAGGTAGAGACAGAAAGCCAAAGTGATGCATTGGACATAGTAGTATGGACATGAAGAGGAGATGAATTGAATTGAATTCACATTCCCTGCCTCAGATCTGGTATCACTAGGTGACTTTTCCACCTCTCATGTTCTCTCAAAGAAGTCTTCTTCTCTTCTATCTTGCTAAGAAATATCACTATATTTTCTTTATGGGATTGTCCTCAAACAGGTGGGTCCAGAGCACCTGCTGTGAATTTGGGGCCAAGCTGACACCACATTTCTTACAAAGTCCAAATCAATTTCTATGCGGAAGGCTCTAGCATACCCTATTTGCATGGAATAACTTCCTGGATGTAGCCCTGAATGCTTGGATGAAAATTTGGAGGTGGAAGGGAGAAATAAATAAAACTCATGGGTTTGGGGTTTTGTTTTGTTTTTAGTTTCTGGTAGGACAAATATTTCCTCGATAATAGAACTGTGATGGCTCTACCAAATGAGCTATGGTATGTTAATTGCTATGAATCCGTGTGGTTAAAACTTTATTTCAGTAAGTTATTCATAAAACTATGTTTCATAATCTCTAGATTGTCTCAATATAGGGCCAAGCCCTCCTGTTTTATGAGCACATGGCAGACATGAGTCAAAGTGGCAATAGAGGAGACAGATGTGAGAGGGAGTTTGTTCTGGAGATGTACACAAACAAATATGCATCACATCTAATTCTTTGCCATCTGAAAAGAAAGTGGGAACATGTCACAGGCAGCAACAAATTGTGCTGGGAGGATCCTTGGTAAATTTGGGAAATGTGGAAGTTCTTTTCTGTGAGTAAGCATTGGGCTGATTCCAACTTGATTTTTGCCTTTTTGCTTTTGAATTTTCAGGGCAGCAACACACAAGACTGGAGAAGTAGAGAATTATTTTTTCCTCTCTTTCCTACAGAAACAGTAAAGACATCAGTAGGGTCAAGCCATGTCGCCCCATAAACAAAGGAAATGAAGATAGACAAGGTGGTAACAACAAGCTTCACAATGAACTGTTGTATGGGTCTTTTCTTGAGATCTAATTTCATCCTTAGATTGTATCTAATCTCTGCAAACCACAGAGATCTCAAAACACCTGCGCTGCAGACTGGAATAATTATAGGGCAATGTGTGTCCTGCAGGTGATGACAGTGTTGCTATTATTTTTAGATAGGACTGTTAAGATACTTTCTTCCTTTAAAAGTAGGGGCATTGCCTATGCAGATATTTACTCCAACCACAGCAATGTAAAAACCAGCCTTCCACAATCAGTTGAAGGACTGAATAATTAGCAATTTACAGACTGTGTTCATTGACTTATGGGATCATTCTCTTCTTAATCCCCATCCACTCTGCAGTGGAAAGGTGCTATCTCTGGACTACTAAAGCACTTCTTCAATAATTTTAGTGGGATACTGTTCTTCCCTATATTTGCTCCTTGGGGCACGTCTGCTATAGCAATGAGTTCCCACCATTCCAATGATCATGCAGAGCTGGCCAAAAACATTCCACTCCCTAAGGGAGTTGTACATAATACAGTTGGATTGGCAGTGAGGCAGAGTGCAACCCCTTCATTTATTTTCATGCAAGAAAGAAGGTCTTCCAATTGATCAAAATGAATGGGAGGTAGGAGGGCTGGTTGGAAGAAACTGACGACTCCAGAGAACTGACTTTGATGAGATTTATGTGACTTTGCTGGCTCAAACCTTAGGAAACTTGCTACAGGGAAACCTAGAGTGTAATCTTGATTAGCTAGTGTCAATGAGAAGCAGATTGCAAATTTGAGGCTGCAATCCTGTGCATGCATGCTTGGGGCTAAGTCCCATTGAACCACTGCAGGATTCTGCCTCTAAGTAATCTTGTGTAGGGTTATATATCAGCTTAAATCTAAGTTTTGCCACTGAATGAAATTCAAGTCTTGCATGTATTTTTTATGCTCCTTCACAGACTGAATTATTAAGACAAAAATAACATAGAAAGCAATTTGGTATCATGTGACTAGTGACTTAGCAGCACAAGGAAGTTTCAGGATAGTGGGTGTGTTTTTCTTTCTAAAAGCAGGGCTGACAAAATGTCCATATGTTAGCTTTTGAGGACTGAAAACCTGTTTACATGTTACATGTTCAGCAGTATTGGCCAGCTGACATCTGGATGCTTTAGCTGAGATTCCTGCATTGCTGGGAGTCCCTTCCAACTCTACAATTCTATGATCTATGTCCAGTAACAAGGCTATACACAATATTGTTCTTGCCAGCTTGTATATGGGCAATTAGTCTCCCAGCTTGTTCTCTTGCTTAAGCCTTCCGTTCATTCCAGTGTGCAGAACTAATTGCACCCCAACAGGTTAGATACATCAAGGAATACCTCCCACTGGAGTGTAGGCCATGGTGCTATCAGGGCAGGACTTTAGGGCAGAAGTCCAGGACCCCACTCAGCAGAAAAAGAAGGGTCCTCAAATGAAGCACAGCTGGCTTGCCACACTGGAAAGTCATTCACATAACCATCCAAAACAGAACAGGGACATGTGTAAGCCCAGAGCAGTTAGTGTGGAGGACTGGTGGCATTTACCTGACTTCCCGCTACCAGCGTTACCGTGCTTTACTGGGAGGGAGGTGGGAAGTGGTGGGTAGGTCATTGCAGTGCAAACACACTGGCAGGAACAGCAGATTTTCGCATGGCTGCCAATGCTGTGGCAGAAGCAATCTCCCCGCCACCTACCCCCATCCCATGGTAAGATGAAACAATGCAGGTGACAAGAGGTGAGGAAAGGACTGCTGCCCCCACTTTTCATGGAGCACTACTGGTCCAGAGTGTAAATATTACTGAGCTGCTGCCATTTCCAGTAACTGCCCGACCCAACAAAATCATGAGAAGCACAAGTCAATTTATATAAAAAATAAAATACTTTATTTTTTTTCCAACTAGAAAGGTGCAGACATGTAACTTTTGGTCACACTTCTCAACAGGTAACAAAACTGTTCCCAGGTGGAAAGATTGGTCAGCTAACAAATAAGCCACTCATTTCGCTACAGTCCATGTACTTTCATTAAGGCAGAGAGAATCCGATTTCCCTCTCCTTGTCCTTGATTTGACGATGAGCTTTGCAAGGACTCTGCTGGTGCATCTTGTTCAGCGAAGCATCACTTCGTTTCACTGCAACACCCGACCCCACTAACTGAACTTCCCAAAGAGAATCTATTTCATGTGTTAAATGAATGCATTGGATTGTATTTGAATGATAAAGCCTTGAATTGTAAAAAAAAAAGATGAGGCTAACACTGATGTATCAAAGCATTAACACAAAAGGGAATAAAACTTTAAATTAACTTAGATAACTGTACAATATATATATATATATGTACACACACACACACACACACACACAACAGTATTTACAAGATCGTAATATTACAATATTAATTAAAAAAAAATCTAGCTTGTGGCAGGCAAATTCATTGCCACAAGCTGTCCAGTCTAATTCCGATTCATTCTGAACAAACCATTTGAATCAGAACTTCAAAGCAAAATTATTGCTGTTCTAACAGAACACAATTACTTAGCACCTTGCTGGGTGAGAATTTCCAGTCCAGCACCTACTGTCATGGAAAGCCGTGACAGTAGCCTTGCTAAGCGTCCTTTCTGATTGCACTATTTGGTGGAAGACATGCTAACACACCATGAAAAGGCTGCACGAGATGGCACATGTCCCCTTAAGTAATCCCTATACACCACCCCCATATACTCTGTTCTGAGGCGCAACTTCATTGTCGTTCCTCACTGTCCTTCTTATTATTACTATTTTTCCTTCAAACCAATGTTTGGGGTCAATAGACAGTTTTGTCTGAAATCACATAGAACATTCTGCTTTTTGTTCCCCCCCCAAAAGCAGACATTTAAATACCTTGTGCTATCGAATCACGTTGTACAAAATGAGATGCAAATTATTAAGTTCAAGTTGACCGTCAAGTTTTTCAAAGTCTCTTTTTGGGCTTTATGCCATGTCTCCGTACATCTTCCTGGAGTAGACCGACTCAAAGATGTCGTTGTCTCCAGGGCAGTTGTAGTGACACGCACAGGTCTTGATAAACATCATCCTCTTCTTCATGACCTCCCCATCGGGACACTTGAATTCCACAGGGAGGGTGGCTGTTCTGTGAGGAGTGCAGCATCGGCCATCGGTGCAGACGCCACAGAACTTGGCCCGGTAGGTCTTCACGCTGGTGCAGCCAGACAGCTCAAACTTGATAGGCTTGGAGAACTTGGGAGTACGAATACACTTCTTTCCTTTCTGTGGAGAGAGGGAGAGAGAATTCATATGTTTACATATCAGCTACACAAGGCTCCCATACACATTATCAAATATCTAAGTTTATCTCTATGTGTTATTTATTTTATAACTGTCCAATCTTAAACGTATTATGGTGGAACCAGACTCAGTTGAGATGAAGCCATGAGTTGTGGCTTCCTTGCCCCACTGATTTAAGTGAGGCCTAAATTCAGCGAATTTAACCTGCATACATCTCACTTGGTACAATCCAACCAGTGTAAGCACTTTGTTTGTCCCACTGGTAGAGCTAAGCAAACACACAATGAAGTCAATGATACCTAAGGATCTTAAATCTGGCTAGATTATGCCTAGAAGGTATAAATGGAGTCTCGCTTACTTCAGTGGCATTTCCACCCACATATATCAGATTGTTCATGCCTAGTTCTCTTGAAAGTTTCACTCACATTCATTAAGGTCAACTCAGGGAGCAACAACAGCCCTGTACAATGCATTCTCCCCAGTGTTGTATCCAATGATGGCTTTGCCTTAGAGAGAAGTATTTCCTCTCCCTAAAGGCAGGGCACCTGATGTTCACTGAGCTCTCTAGCCCACAATCCCCCTGCATCCTCTTCCTTAGAAGATGGTTGTGGGGCCCATAGAAACAGAATGGGACACAAGGCAGAGAACTGCTGTAATTGGGTGGGGGAAGAGAATTTGAGTGAAAGCATGTTCCATTAAGGCCAAACCACTGGTGGATACAAACCCTAGTTCATAGCCACCAAGTGGATCTTAACATTCACTATGTAGAAGTGCTCTAGCAAAGTGGACCCCTATTTACCTTGATGCTCTCCTCCAGGTCTGCTTCACATGGCCTCACCATGCAAAGCCTGCTTTGCTTCTCCAGTCTGCAGTGGGCATTGTCATTGGTGACTCTGGTGGAGATGCCCATTCCGCAAGTCTTGGAGCAGGCACTCCATTCAGTGGTCTGGACCAGGCAGTTGGCACGCATCATGGATGGGTCAGGTCCATAAGTGTCTTCCAGTCTATAAGCTGGAAAAAGAATAGCAGAAAGGGTTAGATTCTAGCACTAAGAGCTCATTCAGAAGGCACAGAATCCATTGATGGAGATCACAGCATGGTTAAGGCAACCAAACTCCAGAAAGTGCCCTGTGTAGGCTATCAAGATGGAGAGGGGCATTGAGAGAGCAAACCTACTCACCAGCAAGAGCAGGTCCAACTGCAGTCTGTTCTTTGTCTTTGGGCTCATCGCACACCCATTCCTCGCAGCATTTGCCTGGCAGCTTCACGGTTCGTGGGTAAGGGCAGTCGGGGCTGGGCAGGCGAACACCCATGCTGCAGAGAGGCACACAGCCCACAGCCCCGTCCAGGCAAGTGCATCGGTATTTGCAGCTGCTCTGGAAAGACTCTCCGCTCCTGTAAACCATGCCTCCAAAGACACAGGGGGCGCCGTCCTTTGCTGCAAACAGAAAAGAGGAGCCATTCATTAAAAACAACAACCCTAGAGTGACCAAGGAGCCTAGATTTCAGCAGCTCTGCCTACACATAAAGAAAGCGACTGAACTAACCATATTTTGGGCATGCAAGGATCAACTCCTGTCCTTGGATCTGCCACCTTTGTGCACCTCTGATGCCTTTAACAGCTGCGCAACAGGCAGAAATTCAACAAGGGAAGCTTTCTCTTGCTTGCTAGAGGAGACTGCAAGCCCCCCAGACCAATCACTTGCACCAATCTCTTCCATACACAAAGGGTGCTTTTTGTTTTAAGGCTGACTGAAGGAAGGGAAAGTATCTTAGGAAACAAAAAGCTGGAATGGGGTCACTTTTCCAGGCCCTAGAAGGGATTCCTCTCTGGACCTTCTCTGCTTCAACCCTGCTCGCCGCTCCCCCCTAGAGGCAAAACTCCGGGTACTCACCGGTGCAGACGCCGATCTTCCGGTTGGCCGGGGAGCCGAAGTCGCAGAAGAGCCCCTTGTGAGGGTCGCAGGGGTCTCTCTCGGTGCACAGCTCGCCCAGCTGCTTGGCGCACACCCGGCAGCACCCGCAGCCGTCTTGCACCAGGCTGACGCCGGGCGGGCACTCGGGGGGCGCGGAGTCGCACTGGCACTGCCCGCTGCAGTCTTGGCCGGCCACGTCCTGGGGGGACACGGAGGGGGGGCAGAGGGGTCAGGATCGGACGGAGCAGGCGGAGAGACGGGAAGCCAAGAAGAGGTCTCGGCTCCGCAGCCACCCAGCGCCCCTGATCCCGCCAAGCCAAGCTCGGCTCCCGTCGAGGCCGAGTGCAGGGAGACTTACCCGGCTCCAGAGGGCGACGACGAGCGCCAAGGCGAAGCTGCGAAGGAGTCCCATCCTTGCCAGCATGTTCAGGGCGAGAGAGACGACGGCAAAAGCTGCGCGGAAGCGGAGGGGCTCCTGGTCCGGGCGAGGGCTCGCAAAATCTCCCTGCCTTGGGGCGAGAGAGGGTCGCTGCTGTCCGATCTGGCTTCGCTGGGTGCAGCCTTCGTGGGAAAGCGCCTTCCTTTGGTGCGGAGTCCGCTGGCCTGTCTTGTTCTCCGTCTTGGGAGCAGAGGAAGGTGGTTCGGTCTGAGTCTCAAGCAGGCGGACCGGCGCTTTTTATACACTCCCGGCGCCCGGGACGCGCCAATCGGCTGAATGGAGTCCTACACAAACAGCGACATTCCTGACATTCTTCTCCACCTTCCTGCCTCATCAACTCACACCGGATTGATCCTGACCCCTTGACACTCCGCATTCCTCCTGTCTGAAAAAGCTGGCGCACTTCAGCGCACAAAAAAGGCGCTGTATTTTTCACCATCGAAAAAAAGAAGAGGGGAGGAAAAAAGCAAAAGGAGGGGGGGGGGACTTTTCTCCCGCTCCCAGCCTAGATTCTTCCCACCACCACAGACCTGATTTATAGGACTTAAAAATACGTCTCTTTTGGAATATTCTCTCTCTCTCTCTCTCTCTCTCTCTCTCTCTCTCACACACACACACCTTTTTCAAAGGAATGGACCAGGATTTCACACACACAAAAATCGCCCTCCAAATTGCATAAATCATATGTAAAGACACCGCCAGACCAAAGAAGAAAAGGATGAAATTATTTATTTCTTGGAAAGTATTATGATTTATAATAATAATCAGGGATCACATCTGAGACATTTCCAGTTTTAAGTTCACAGGATCCAAAAGAAAGTGCTTGCAAAAACCTTTGTGAAGGTGGAGTTCCACTTAATGGAAAATGTGAACCAAATGAATGGATTCTGTTAAAAAACATTGCCTCCGATCCCATCCAAACACTTGCTCTCCCCCCCCCCCATTTGAGTTTTTCCACATGTGCTTTATGAACAAACACATGAATGGATTAAAAGCTGAAATCATACAGTGTATTTGGAAACAAGATTCATCTCCCCTACACTTGTTGAGAATATTCCATTGGGCCAATAAAATCCATGTGTGGAAACAATAAAAAAAGACTGTGTTCTGTACTAGGTAAGGGCAATAAACCCTAAGAGGCTGCAGTCTGAGACACACCTGGGAGTATGCCTCATTGAACTCAGCAGGGCTTACAACTTAATAGACAGATTGTGTTTTAAGAACCCTGTTTATAAAACTTTTGCATTGCTCTTTGTGTGAGAGAGGGAGAGGACAGAGTGAGTGTGTCCACATTCCTTTTGATGGGAAGGGGTTCCATCTGCTTTTTCTCTTGATATTAATAGGGAGTGCCTATAGGGGGCATTGGTAGCTGGATGTTAACAGTGAAGTACACTTAACTGAGTGCATAAACACATAGTGGACTGTGGTACTTATATTTCTCTGGATCTGTTAAGGTCCATCAAGCACATCTGTGTGATGCACAACTGGAATGAATGGGCATAGCACATCAGCAGCACTTGATGTGCATCACACAGATGTGCTTGATAGATCTTAACAGATCCAGAGAAATGTAAGTACCGCAGACCACTATGTGTTTATGCACTCAGTTAAGTGCACATTGCTGGGGGAAAACTTCGAAACAGCCCCAGTTCTTCCAATGGGGCTACTCTGGAGTAAATTGGTTGGGGTTTAGTGTCATTGACTGAATTCCCTAGCAATGTGAATGGCAAAAGTTCTGCTGGGCTTAATAGGCGTCAACTTGGTCCCTTCTACATCTCCAAGATACAGTCTCTCTTTCTAGCTGGAGTCCTTCCAGAGAAACAGGTAAGAATGTGTGACACGATTCATCTCCTGTCATTAGTGAGGAGCAGAGAGTTTAAGTGGGGGAAGGGGATATGTCCAGGTGGCGGCTGGTGGGGAGAGGTTGCCAGGATGGTTGCTAGGAACAAGCCTGGGAATTTTTCTTTCCTTTTCCTTTTTATCTGGCCAAGAAGGCACAATATTGAAGCCTGACAGTTTTCCGCAGATTTCTTCAGACGCTCATGATTGACTTTCTGGCTGTTACCACCACCCCACCTCCTTAACAACTTGGTATGCTTTCTGCAACAACAACAACAACAAAACAAAATAAAAAATATTTGGGGATGTTTCTTATTATATCACCTAAAGCAATATATTATGCAGTGTCTGCTTTGCAATTGACTGTGGACCACTGAATCATCCTGGGATATTTTCCCTAATAAGTACTTTCTATGAATAGAGAGAGGGAAAGGGAGACTATTTGCCCTGAAATTCTTGGCAGAATCAAGTGAGGCAGAATGGAAGATGTGGCTCCACTTTTCCCACTGCGTATGTACTAGTCATTCGTAAGCAAGACATTCCACCCAAGCACTTTTGGGCTCCTTAAACTTTCCCCCCAGTGCCTAAGCAAACAAAATAATAAAAAAGAGAACCCACGGTATTTGTTGAATAATAGCACAGATAGAGAGATGCTTTATTATGTTTCCCAGCTTGCTCTTCCTCAAAGAGCAGTGCGGCGTACACTGATCCTCTCCCCATTTTATCGTCACATCAGCCCAGTGAGGCACATCAGGCTAGGAAATTGGGGCTCATTTGAGTTTACCCAATAAGCTTTGCAGCTGAGCAGAGACCTGAATCTGGGACTCAGTTAAGTTTGTGCATAGGCAACACAGAACTGGTCCCCTGTCCCAGGGGTGGATCTACTATGAAACTAATGGATCTTAAACTTTAGGGCCCCTAATCCCAGAAGGGCCCCATAAATCACTTTAGTCCATATTGCTTAAAAAAAAGGGTCTAGTAGACCCCCATTTGAGTGGCACAACTCAAAGTTATTATTATTTTTTGTGCATATTTCAACAATCCCAGCGTTCGAGAGCTAGTATTACAGATACAAAGGTCATGGGGCATCAATTTCAATCAAAATTTGAGGGGCCCCCCGCGTGACTCACAACCCCTCCCTCTTTACTGCCGTAGTAGCTTTGTGCTTGTCCGTAGTACTGTGTATAAATGAGATATTGTGGAGAAAGTTGCGCCCATCTCAATGTTAGGGGTGGAATTAACAAAATATGGAAGCAGCTCCAATGATCTTCAGTAATAATAATAATAAAAATGTTAATGTGTATGTGGTGGTGTTTTTTTAAAGGTGGTAATCTGTCATGGGACAACCCCACTGGAGAAGATAACAGCGTTACCCAGAACTCATTGCTGGTTGTGAAGAGGCTCTCATGACACTCCAAGCTTCAGGCCCCCTAAAATGTGGGTGTGCCATTGCCCTGTCCTCAGCTTGGAAGGTCATCAGAATGTTTGCACGAGTCACAGTCTCTCAGCTGCTTAGCCTACACTACAGGGTCGTTGGGAGGCTTGAACACTGCTCTGAAAATGGTTGGTACTGGAATTGGAAGGATTAGCCAGTTATGGTCTCTTGATAGTGGTTGTCAAACCTTACAGATCTGGCATTTGAAATTATATCCATATGTAGCAACCTGTGTCCTCCACATCCATCCGTTTCAAAACAAGCATGCACAGGAGATGTTTCCAGTGAATTTGGCTTGCAATCTGTCCTCTCCTTCTCTACCACAGCATAATATAGGATGTAGCCTCTTTCCAATACCACATTGGTTTTGTATAAAATAAAATCACCCCTTTAGCAGGAAAAACCCCCATCTCATTTGTAAAAATCCCATAAAAGGGAATTATGGTAAGTAATACATCTTTCCAAATTTATGAGGCATCCCAAAACCTCTATTTACTTGGACAGCTGCAAGCAAAAGGCTGCACTTACCCACTTCTGAGTAAATAATAGACACACCAAACTATGCATAACATGCTTACGAAAATGGAAGCTTTACCAGGTAAACAGAATGCCGCTTAAAAATGCCCAAATATGGTAGATGATCTCTGGGAAGAGAAGGGTTTTTAAAATAAAATGATCATACTTACCACAGACTCAGAAATGACTGTTTCGAAGGGCCAAAAGAAAAGGCTAGTAATTTAAGATGGCTTATGCCAATGGGCCACACACTAGAGGGAAGGCAAAAATGAAGGCTGCCAACTGGTGTGTGTGTGTATTCATAAATCATCTGCTTTGATGGACTGATTCATCAATCAGTTATATTTAAATAAATTCTAACACGCTCACAAGAGAGGTGTGTTTTTGGGGGTGCTGAGGCCCGCTGAACTCAGTAGGACATACTTCTCAGCAGGCAGGTATATTATAGAATTACACCACATGTTGATTATAAATTAAAGCTTGCACTCCTGCCTTACAAATTACCCTGTATAATTTACGGTCCATTTGGCCGCTTCAAATATGATCATTTCTAAGCATGAGCAAAAACATTCCACCCAAGTCATTCCAAGAAGAATTAAAATTTGGTGTATATCCTTGGAACCCAACAACCTATCCCTGGTTGAGCCATTCTTAAAAGCCTATTGGAATGTAGAGGGATGTGCAAAATCCCATGAAAAGTGTGTGTGGTGGGGAAGGGATAGACTTTGCTAAGCTGAATAAAAGCTTTAACTTTTCATGAAGTTTGACTGGAAACCAGTGAGTTTTCCATACAAACAAGATCTATAGCAATTGATTGTCGAAACAAAACAAAAACTCCTAAAATACCATTTATCTAGTACTTTAGGGAGGGTGCTTCAAAATCATGGAATCATAAAAGCTGGATTCCTCAAAGTAACCTAGTCTAATTCCCTGCTGATGCAGGAAAACCACCACCACAGCATCCCAAAGAGTTGGCCCCCAGAGTTTGCTTTAAAATCTCCAGTGAGTCATCTCCTGCAGCAGTTCGTTCCACTGTTGAATAGCCTATACCATCAGGAATCTCTTCCTAATGTTGCACAGGAATAACAACAGTTTCAAATGGTGCTTTATTATGGGATACTATTTCAAACCTAAATCTGGTGTGTCTTTCATGGATCAGAAAGAAATTCAGTGGGCCTCATCTATATATTGTTTTGCTCCATATGTGGTTGTTGGTTTTTTTTAAAAAAGACACCTCGCCGAACATGTTTTGTGCAGATTGGGGTGATGACAAAATATAAACTGTGGCCTGCATCACCAGCCTTTGTTTGGCCATGCCAAAGGAACTTCTGGCGCACCATCATTCATATTTACATATACATACAGTGGTACCTCGGTTTTTTTATTTTTGAACGTAATCCATTCCGGAAGACCATTCGACTTCAGAAACGTTCGAAAACTGAGGCGCAAAGGGCAGTCTGCAAATTCAGTAGAGAAAATTGGGGGGGAAAAAATCAGCGCAAGCCATTGGACTTCTGAAAACGGAAGCATTTACTTCCAGGTTTTCAGCGTACGGAAACTGAAACCTTTGACTTCTGAGGCGTTCGAAAACAGAGGT